TCATCTTCTTCGCCTCTTCATCGTTCTTAATTGGAGCTTCTGCATATCCTTTCCAACTCTCAGGCCACCAGAATGCCACCTCCAATCTCCCCTCCCCGTGATTGTACAAGGCGACGATTAAAAGGTAATACTTCGTTCTACCGCGTTTTAGGGTTTCAAGTTTTTACTCTTTGCATGCTATTGATCTTTGATTGTTTACGTTTGTATGAGGTGTAAATCAGAAAAAAGGAAAATTAATACCTTGGGGTTTTGTTTTTGGAGAGGAGGCGGGAGGTTGGACGACGGCGCTCTCAGGTGGCCGGAGGAGGGAACGTGATGGTGATGCTAGCTTCCTGGTATTTGTATCTTTCTCGTTGAATTGTTTTGTGATGACAATGTTCTGAAAATGCGACTTCTGAGTTTTCTCTTCTTCTTTTGAGTAGGTTGTTTATTTGATGATAGACATGTTCTGAACCTTGGCTTATTGTTGTTGCTGTTGATTCTGTGATGAAACTCTGTTCTGAGAATGCCTGTTGTTGTTGTTGTGGATTTGGCTTATGATTTTTGTGATGAACTTTGATTCTGAGAGTGTTATTGTTGTTGTGATATTTGGTAACTTGTTGGGTTTGCTGATTCTCAATGATGAGCTTTTGTTCTGAGATTTGTTTTTGATAAGTTCTTCTTTTTGAATATCTTGTTGGCTTGAGTTGATTCTGTGAGGACTTTGTTCTGAGAATGCTTGCTATTGTTGTTAGCCTTTACAATCTTCCTCTTTTTCTTGTCAATGATGATGTTCTTCTGAGATGCTTGTTTGCTTCTGGCTTTCTTCCTCTCTTGGGATTTGTTGGCTGATGGTTTTGCCTATGATGAACCCTGTTCTGAGGCGCTTGTTATTGTTATGGACTTGGTTTGGATTTGTTTGAGTTTTGGTTTTGACAGGTTTTTAGGAAGGCTTGTTATGCTTGCTTGTTTGTGGTTTTGCAAGTTTTAAACTTGCTTGTTTGGTAAGGCAGGCAGGTTGGTGTTCTGCAGTTTGAACTGGTTTTTGTTGTGCAAGCTTGAAGGCTTGCTTCTGGTACAGGCAGGCTTGAAGTTATGTTACTTTTGTTTGTTTGGAGGTTTTGCGCAGGCTCTGGAGGAAATAGGCTTCAAGGCTTGTTGTGTTGTTTGGAGATTTTCTGCAGGTTTGTTGGAAACAGGTTTGATGAAGGTTTTAGCAGGTTAGAAGGTTTGCTTCTGGTTTTGGTATGGAAGGCAGGTTTGGGACTTGCTTCTGGTACAGGCAGGCTTGCTGTTATGCAGGCTTGGTGTTTTGCTTGTGTTTACCAGCAGTTTGCAGGTTTCACAAACTTGCAGGTTTTTGCTTGCAGTTTTACAGTTTGTGGTCTTTTGCTCTTTGTGTTCTGCCCCCTCTTGAACTGTTAGAACAATGTTATATTTATCTATTCCTTAAGCCTGCCAAACTGCAAACCTGCTTCACTCTCTCTTTTCTCTCTCTATAAAAGCATATTTTATTGCTTAAAGTACTTTTATATTTCTGAAAAGATTGTTGGCTAGGGAAATGATGAAAAGGTGCTTGCTTGCATCTTTGTTTTGCTCTGCATTTTGTACTTCCATATTTCCTGCATTGACAGTTTTGATAGCTTGTAGGCAGCTTTTCTGTTTTGATAGCTTCTTGACAGTTTGGTTGATAGCTTCTTGACAGTTTGGTTGATAGCTTGTGTAACTTAGTTTGCTTTGTTTGACATTGCAACTTAGTTTGTTCAGTTTGAATTTGTGCAGCTTGTCCCTTGTATTATATGCAGCCTTGTGCCTTCTTTTTATATGCTTGCAAAAATCAATTTTACTTTTCCTCTTTGTGAACCAAGAAGAGAAATCTTCTTGTGATTTGCAAAGAGGATGAGCAAAATATGATGAAACCAAAATGATCTGATTCTGGCCAACAATCTTTAATGATGAGTTTTCATTTGTCTGTCTGAAAATGCTTTTCCAATTTAATTGTATTGACTTCTTCCTTTTGTCTTTGCAGGTAAACACCAGTTGGGATAATGGAAGCAGCAGTAGAAGATAGAAGACTTTAGATTTTAGATTTTAGATTTATTTTCAATTATTGTAATAAATATCATTGTAAATATTGTAAATAAATTTACAGTATCCAAATAACATTTGTAACAACAATTAAAATGAATAAAAATCTTTTGTCAGATAATTCTTTAATTTACACTGTTTATTTAATTATTTAAATCTCTTGAATTAAAATGACTGGAAATGCATCTCAATTATTTTAACTTAGATAAAATAAATAACCAATAAACGTTGTATTCTCACAACCTTGCATTAACCACCATACGCCCGACATTTCAGTTAACCATATGCATTGCACAGTTAAACAAACAAACGTCCATACGCCTTTCACTTCACTGATCAAACCAACGCTCCAACCTTTCAAAATAAAAGCCTCAGCTCTTAGCCCAAATGTTTAGGTTTTGAGAAACAAACAGCAATCTTGAACAAGCGTCAAAACAATGTGATAGTCAATTGAAATACTGTGGATTCAAACTCTTCTGAGAATGCGCGTTCAAACCCTAATTTTGGATTTACTGTCAAAGAAATGTCTGCTTGATCAAACCCTGAGCCAAACTGAAAAATCAGGGAAAACCCGAAGCTGTGATTTCTTGTGGAAAAGAGGAGGGCAAATTTTGGGGTACAACAATGATGCATTTGTCTATCCGTGGTCGAATTTATATGACGTTGTTGTGCATCATGCATTTATAGTAGTTTTGGACGGTGGTCCCCTTGTGACGAGCCTCTATCCTATTGTGCAGATTGTGTGGTTTTTGATGTGCTCCGGTTCCAAGAGGAAATCAATCCCATGGTGGGGAATATTTTAAGGGTAATGAACCAAGTGTTAATAAATATTTGGTACCACATGCATTTGCGTCAGTTGTGTTGCATTAAAATCTTATGTGAAATTGCATAAATTTGGTTGATGATTTCTGATGTGATGAAAATTTTAATTGTGCGATTATATGAAGTTTGATGATGATAGAAGTATAAGTGATAGTATGGTGTATCTATGAGTATGAAGTATTGATGAGTAGTCAGTGTTGTTATATGTTGATGATTTTATAACTAATAATCTTTTCCTTATATCTTTTATAATGAATCATGATTTCTTACCCTTTCTGTTTGAATGTTGTCTCCACATGGGTAACGCGCAGGTGACCAGAAGTAGTTCATAGAATCTTTGAGGATAGCTTTGAAGTGTGTTATTTATTTTCATTAATTAGAGGTGTCTTTCTCTGATATGTAACATCGGTTTGGGAATGCTATATTATGCGAATGTTATATTTTTTTATGTTCTCTATTATATTTGACTGCTTCTAGGCCTAATATTATATTCAGTGTCTAGTTGTGTGTTTGCTTCCAATCAGATTCTAGATAATTACACTTAACTATTATTAAGAGGATTTTTAGGTATTTGAAAGGTACTACTAACATTGGTTTGTGTTATAGAAAATTAAGTGAATACAAGTTAGTAGGCTATTGTGATGCTGACTATGTTGGAGATGGACTAGAGAGGAAAAAAACTTTTGAAAGTTGTCAGTTTCTGAGAGATGATTTGATCTCATGGTCTAGCTAAAGGCAATCAAAAATAGAACTCTTAATCAAGAAGTCGAATACATTTTTGCTTCTGGATGCATCACCCATATTCTCAGGATGAAGAGTCAACTAGAAGATTATCAAATATTTTAGAGTAACATTCCTATCCTTTGTGATGATACTTCTGTAATTTGTTTGTCTAAGAATCTAATTTTGCATTCTAGGGCTAAACATATTGAGATTAAGCATCATTTTATACGAGACTATGTTCATAAGGTAATTTTATCTTTAAAATTCATAGATAGGAACCATCAATGGGATGATATCTTTACAAAACCCCATGCTGGAGATAGGCTTATTTTCATTCTAAAACATTTAAAAATGGTTTCTTGCCCATAATGAAAAAGATACAATCTCAAAGTATTGACTTTTCACAATTGAAAATTAGACTCTAAGTTTGATTTTTGTTTGTGTTGCTTTTGGGATACGAGGCTTCTGATGAGTGAAATTATCATGTATCAAAAGTATCCAAAGTTAGAATCTTCTTTTTAGAATAATTCATTAATGAGGTGTCAGGATATTGAAAGGTTGGTGATTCAAAATAAGACAACTGTCTTTTTTGAAGCACACCTAGCACTTAATGTAACTCATTGGGAGACGATATCTTATAGGGATTAGGTAAAAATCATGCTTTACCTCTTGTCAGAATTTTTACCTTTTCAAAAAAATTTATGAGTATACATTTATTCAATTGTTTGACTTTTGTCAAGTTACTGAATACTGAATATATTTTTAATAACTCTTTTGATAAATATTTTAGTTGGAAATAAGAATCTTTAGCACACCCTATCTAATTCCTTATTTTATATGTCTTCTTCTACTAGTTTTTCTCTTTTCCCTCACCTTCTGATCCACCATCCAAAATTAATCCTCTTCAAACAATCATTCCCTCATAGACCCAACCCACTCTTTCTTTCTTAAACCAAATTGTCGAGTTCTCAAAACAACTCAAAGCATATACCTCTTCTAGTTTAGATGAAGTTATCATGACATCATCTAATTCTGAAGAAGACCTGATGTCAACCATTTACACCAAGTTATATGACTCAGATGCTCCCTTGCAAGAATCAGAAGATTCTTCTCTTGATACCCCCATACACTTTCCATGTACCTCTCCTTTTCAACATTCCTTATATTAATTTAAATTCTCCACCATACCAGATAGACGCTCAAAACCATACTTTACTATTTTTAACCTGTTCCTTCTTAACACAAATGTTAATCAAAACTCCCTTAATGAGTTCTTATATCTTTTTTAGAACAGTGCTATGAACACTCTTCAATATGCTGTTGAGAACTCTTCCAATAGTATGGATCCAGACTGGGTCACCTACATCTAGACAGATTTCAGGAAGTGGATGGATGAAAACTCCAACATCATCCAAGCATTATGTCATATGGAAGCTATGAAGAAGCACAAGGCATGGCTTGGTGATATGGCTCCTGAGGCTACCCTTTTGTGTCTTCTTTCAAAGGCATCTACTCATCCTCCAAAAGATATTGCAATGTTGTAAGAATTCTTGAAACCCTCAGATGCAGATGCCTCTGAGGTGGTTGAGTCTTGAAAGAATGTAATTGAAGTTGGTAACACCTCTGGGCGGTTGAAGATTGTTGCTGCTGAAGAAAATCCTACTAGGATAAAAGAGACTATGGATAAGCTGATGAAGTCAAATACTTTAATTCAATCCCGTTTGGACAAGCAATATGTAAGAGCTTATTGACATGATGCCTCTATCACTATGCTTGCCAATATGATGAAGAATTTCATGGCCATGATTTTGCCTCCTTCACCAAACCCTTACACCCTTATTTTATCTTTTTTTTAGAACTAAGATGCTTTATGTGTTTCTAAAACTTTTTGTAACTTGGTATTTTGTTTAATGGAATTGTTTTTCTTTGTCTTTTTAATATTTTTCATATCTGACAAACTGGGAGGAAGTGATATGATTTTGATATATATCTAATCTCAGAATTTGTTCCCAAACATGATATAATGTTTTTTGCCACTAACATGTTTGACTCGGGAACTTTGAAAAAGTTCATTGAATTTTCTTAACAGGAAAACTCAGAAGCTCTGAAGGAGATTCAAAAGCTCGAGATCCATAAGTCATGAGTTGTAAAGCTTCTGCAAGAAGAAAACTCAACTCATCAAGTTCATCAAGACTTTGATACAAGGCTTGAATATAATCAAGCTTTGATATTACCAACCAGACTCTGATGATGATGTGACAAATTCCAACAGACTCCGTACACTATAGTGTTCTAAAATTAAATCTAGATTCTGAGATGAAGATTTCTATAACACTATTCAGACTCTAATGGTAAAACCAGGTCAGATACCTCATCAAACTTTGATATCAATTTAGAATCCGCGATGAAGATTTCTATATCTCTAATCGGACTCTGATGGTATATCAATCAGGGAAGTGTTTTTTTAATGCTAATTGATTTGTGTTATATCTCAAAACTTTTTTAAGTCTTGAACTCACGGGGAGACCTTGCACGATATTAAACAAGTTCTTGTATCATAGAACTCAGGGGGAGATCTTTAGCTAAACTCTAAATTGTTTTTATGTGATTAAATCAGTATAAATTATTTATCAAAGTACATGGTTTTGTCATCATCAAAAATGGGAGATTATAGGAACAAGATTGAGTTCTGCATCAAGCCTTGAGTTTTGATGATAACATTAATTGGGTGAATAGATAACAATTTAGTACCTTAATAGTTTTCTTAATGTGTAGCTTTTTCTAACAGGTTCGGACTCTGAAGTATTGATGTGTGATGTCATCAGATTCTGGACTCAACACGCTAAAGAATACAAGTTTGTGTTTCACAGGTTAGAATGCGTCTTAAAACAAAGGTTCTAATGAACATTGGTTTTATTGCTTATAACTATGACTTTTTAGTAGAGCTTCTGATATATTCTCAAGCTTTATGGATTCCAAGTTCTCTTGCCCAAGTTTTGACGATTCTGAAGGCAAGGTTCGGTTTAACAAGTTTTGAAGATTCTGAGGACCAACGATTCTCAAGACCAACTTCTAAAGACTCTGAAGACATGGTTCTATTTAAAAAAGTTCTGAAGACTGTAAAGAAAAGGTTGTAAAGACCCTGAAGACCAAGTGTTGAAGACAAGGTTCAAATTGAACAAGTTCTGAAGACTCTGATGACATGGTACTAGAGACTTAGCTTTGATCCTTATATGCATTCTTCAACCATTATACATCCAGAAGCCTCTGAAGATTAAAAGAGCAGATCAAAAGTTTTTTTTATAACCCAATTTTCCCCCTAAGATTCCTTCATCATATCATATCAACTCAATCACAACAAGATCACACTAGGGTTTAGCTCATCTCCTTATCTTTAGCTTTGCTCATGGGGAATCACCAAGCACCTTGACTTGTATTTTATGATCATCTATGTTTTGTATTGTTAAAATTTTAATTAATAAATAAAATTAATGTTTTCCCTAATTGTTGATATCACAGGTGAAAGAATAACACATTCCCTCAGGTTGATCTATAGGTTCATGAGTTAATTTTCATTCCTTCTTAAACAAAGCTTCATTGAGATTAAAGATTCATCATTGAAGATAATTTGAAGTAATATCATGACAAAGTCTATTATGATTCATCATGCCTAGTTAGCAAAGATAGTTCAAAGATGTAAGGGTTGATTGAAGAATTTTGACCTAAGTGGATAAGTCCTTGATTTCTTAATCACAAGTGCATATCTCCCTCAATCATCAATTTTTGGAAGTGGTTATGGTTTCTATGGTTTCTAATTATCATCCTCAACAACTTCTATCTACATGACAAGAGTATTTGTGCAAGAAAGTTTGTCAAAATTGAAAGGGGTTTTCTAGGCACTTTGGTGCTCTAGGAGCTAGGGTTTTGAAATTCTAAGGTCTACATCTTGCTCATCTTTTAGTATTTTTTGGTGAATCCAAAAATATGCTTCTCTTCAAAGGGTTATCAACCATTAACTTCAAAATTTTCAAGAAACTTTTTTGTGGAAGATACCTAATGATGAAGAAAGATTACAAGTCCTCCAGATAAATCATCAAATTCCCTTATGTGACTTCAAAAGATCATAACTTGGTCAATTTTTATCTCCTTGAGCCCATTCATTTTCCAAAATAATCTTGAAGATGCGAACTTCAACCTTTATTTTATGTGATAAGCTTGAAAATGAATGAAAGATGCCTTAAGGATGCAAAAGATTATAGGTCATCTTACGAATTTTCACCAACTTCAACAAGTTATAACTTTCTCATTTTTTGGAGATGTTAAATGGTTCAGGTCTCAAAAATTTATTCAAGAGATCTATCACGACTGTTTTTTTAAATCAGAGTCGCCACTATCAGTTTTTATCCTAGGGAAGGGCATCTAATAGGAAACCCTAATTCGCAGACAAAGATTCTAGGTTTCAGACTTCATTAGACGAAAGGAAGGTGTTAGGAACCTTTCATCTACCTTGTTCACAAGGATACTAGGCTTTAGGTTTAGGTTAAGGTAAAATAGGGTTTTAAATTTTAATTACGGGAAAGGGTTTAAATATTTTTATAGGGGAACTCGCTACGATTTTTGATTATATGCCTACGTATCCTCTTAAGAGGAATCAGAGTCCCAATTCGTAGTTCGTATGTGTTTGGTTGGTGTTTTTTATGAATTGCGTAGAATTGCTTTCGAATTTATTCTTGAACCTTGTCTGGGTTGAAAATTGAGTGAGCGTAGACGCAGTTCGCAGTTTGATTCAAAGACAATGCTATTTAATCCTTTTTTGAAAATGATCTTGACTTCTTGTTATGTTAGTAGGAAAACGCTTGTAATTGGTTAGCTGTTTTGGCATTTGATTCAATTAAGATGTGGAGCAGGGGAGTCTGATATAGTCTCCTCCTCACGTGTTCATCATCACGTTTCCAGATATTGAACACGTGTTGCTTGTCATGAAGGATGCAGAGGAAGACTGATGTAGTCTTCTTCACCATGTGGCCAGATATTGGCCATGTGTCGTTTGCGGATGAAATATTTGGACTTGCATGGGTTTTGATTGTTTGATTTCTAATAATAAACTAGTAGACAATATGTCGACCGATTTAATTACTCGAATAAGGGCATCCTATTATTAAAGAATGTTTGAATTAATTGATTAAAGAAAAGTGTTTAAATTTATGTACAAAATTATTTACAAGAATTATCTTAGAATGAATTGAATCACATTTTAGAATTTTATATTTTTCTAACCTAAGATACATATTAACAAGCAATAAAACAAATTTAAAAAAGAAAAAAATAGTAGAAAAATATGGAAGACCAGTGTCTCCTTTCTTGAACTTTTCTTGCTTTTTCCTTTAAAACTCACCGGCCATTCATGATCCAACACTTGGAACTTTAATAAATAAAAAAGAAAATAAAATAAGAACATTACTAGATACAGAGCATTATAGAGAACTGAAACACCCACTCCCTCTTCTCCTTCACACCTCATCAGTTTCTCTTTCTTTTTCATGATAACCGTAAGTCTTCCCCAAATCAACAATTATAACACAAAATTATCAAACATCAATTCCTTCTAGAGCAGTGATTCACATGAAAATACATCATAGAAAAATAATGGGGGAAAACCTAAGTGATCGACAACAGATAGTAGCAGTGGAGTAGCAGAAAATCTAACTCAAGCGGTGGCGGCTGAAATTGATGCTCACAGTGGTATGGATCTGGTGGGTGTTGAAGGAGTCTGCCGTATTCGTCAGAGTGGAACAAGGGCAGTCAGCGTTGTTGGAGATCGACTCGGTGATGATAGTCGATGGCTTTTGCGGATGGTTTTGAGAGAAATTTGAGGTAAGAGTTGACGATATGGTTTGTTGTTGTTCTTCTTCTTCTTTTTCTGTCCTTTTTCCAGATTCCCTATCTCCAGCTTTTCTTCCCAGTAATCTCCTCCCCCCCCCCCTTTCTGTCTCAAAATCTTTTTTATTTATACCGTTTAGTATTTTAGGGTTTTTCGAATTGTTAGCGTAGATTAGAATTATAGATTTATGAATGAAGAGATAAATTAGGGTATGTAAATCTTTAATTGATTCAGATTTGTAATCGTAGTTTATTTTCTATTGTAATAGAAATTTATGATTTGTCGCTTAACTGTAATTGATTCTGGGCTTTGATGATTTTATTTCGTTTACGATTTAGTTTGGTTAATCAATAGATTTAGATTGTAATTTATAATATATTCTGGTTTTGATTGTGTTGTACTTTAAAATCCGGGATTTTGTTTCAGTAAAAAATTGATTTGAACAATGAATGTTCTAATTTGCAAATGTTGTACCCCAAAATTTGCACTCTCATTTTATCAAGATTTTCCTCACAAGACTCTTTGGACTCCAGACAAGATTAGGGTTTGCTCAGCTCAAGACCTCACCTTGCACTGATAGCCTGAAATTAGGGTTTGAGTTTTCACAAGGATTTTTGGACCATCAATGCTTCATGTGACTTTTATACACCATCTTGGACCCCTAAGAATTCTCATGACAAGTTTCAAGCCTTGAATCACATTTTTGTCCAGTCAATTGGACAGTTGACCTAAAAATCAACTGTATTGGGGAAAAAGTCAACCATGGCCAATTTACAGTCAAACTTCATAATTTTTGATCCACAACAACATTTTAGGCTCATATGTACCATTTGATCAAGTTTGGATCACAACTCCTCAAGAAATTTGATCAGACCATCAAAAGGGCAAAATGGTCAAAATTAGGGTTTTTATTGGGAAAGGGAAATTTCTGATTTTTGACCTAGCCAATGACCAATTGGGTCCAAGCATGATTTGAAGGACTCAATAGCATCATCTTGACCTAATCACAAGGCTCAAAAGATCTTAAGTACATAGGATTGACAGATGAATTTTTCAGTCAACTGATCAAAAATCAACTGTACACTGAAAAGTCAAACTTTGACTTTTTGGTCAAAATCAAGTGCCAAGGGTCATAATTCATCAAGATATGTCAAAATTTAAAACTTGTTGATCAAGAAACCTCAAATTGCAAATTAGGGTTTTAATTTGAAATTTTTCATAACTTAGAATTTTTCTAAGTTATAGAAATTTCTTATTTTTTCCCAACTTTCCACAACTTTTTCACCATGATGCAATTGGATTAAAAGAAAACTTCCAAAATGAAAGTTGTAATCTTCCATGAAATATACAACTTTTATTCAAAAAGTTTTCCCAAAAGATGCTTGGATCTCAAGTTATGATTTTGTAAATAAGCGTCCATAAACTTTTTAACTTGGTGAAATTTTGCCCTAGTTTAGGCAGATTTTTGACCTAACTTCATGGCAATGTTTCACATAGTTCCAAGAGTTATCTCAAGTTTCATTTCAAATATGGATTTTAGAGCATGTTACAAGCTTTCCAAAATGTCCAAGAACTCTCCAATATCATTTATGGTTAGGTAGAACCGAAGAAGGGAAAATGGCAATTTATCACTTTTGTTCAAGGCATTTTCACAATGGTTCAAGTTGCAAATCTGCCCTAGCATGCTTGTACTTGGAATTACAGGTCCTAATCCTTTCTACACTCCATAATTGAATTCTAATTCGGTGGACAATGGATTTATTTTGATCTTTGGAGCATTGTACAATGAATTAATCCAAAAATGGCATAAAGTTCATAATACTACTTTGATAAAGCAAGCTTTTTACAACTTTGCTATCCTTGAGCATTGAACCTGTTTCTTTGTCACAAGCAAGGTCCACAGTTATCAGGCAAAGCATACCAACTCCTTGCAGCCCTAGCACTAGCAAGTACAGCACCTTGGGCATTGTCACTTCAACTTTTCTTCAAAAGCAAGAAACTTGCAAAAGTCAATACAACTTGTCCATCTGATAAAGGCAAGACTTAGCATCAAATGAACAACTTCAAAACTTTGTAACAAGCCAATACACAAATCCATAACATCCCAAACACTCTCAAACACCAAAATCACATTTTTCTGCCCAAACAGGGCATCATCTGCAGAACCCTTGCCAAATCAATATTGGCTCGTGCGTTTCTCATTTTAAGACTTCAAACACATTACATACATCCTACCTAAGCTGTCCAGGCATTTGTCTTGCAACTTTAACCCCTATTTCAGGGATCACCATTTTCATTTTGGAGGTTTGCAGGTTGACTTCTACGGGGAGATTCAAGCATCTACAAGGCAATCTGAGCATTGGAGAAGCTTGAGGGAACTTCAAGGAAGCTCACACGATCTTCAGGCTTCACTCAAAGTCCCCATATTGCCATATCCAAAATCAACTGAACAAGGTATTTTTCAAAGTTCTATCTCCTTATTTAGACATCCTTAGGTCACGATTTGTGAAGCAAAGATGTAGCCCTTAACTTGTTGAAGTTGTACATATGCATACTTTCCATTTATATTAACTGAGCTAAGAGTATTTGGTTGTTGAACATGCTGAAAAAACTAGGTCAGAAATTAGGGCCATTAAAATTCTCCCTGGTCTTTTAGAGTTAGGTCATGAATTTTATATCACTAAAATCGTGAGATTATAAGCTACCTTTTTTGTTTTATGAGTTTTTAATTTTATGCAAGCATGAGCAAGAACAAGATTTGAACACAGAAGCGCGCGTTTTGGAAGAAGGCTGGAGGACATGGATGAAGTCCTGGGCCTGGCGCGCCTTGGGCCTCCTATTCTGACTTTTCACACCCCCTAGTTTATTATTTGCACCCCTTTTTGCATATTTTGATATTTTTGATATTTTCTTTTTATTTTTGTGTTTATTGACTTTATTTTTTTTTTCTGAACATTAAAAATCCCAAATATATTTTCTTAATTTTTTGCATTTTTTTTTTTGGTATAAAAATAGTTTATTAGGTTTGTAGAATTTATTTTCTTAAATAAACTTGTAAATAATAATAAAATACTTAATATTTTATTTCATTATTTTATACACACTAAATATTTATTTTTCATACATATTTAATTTTTAAAATATTTGTACATAACATTATTATTATTTTTCTTAAACAAAAAATGAATAAAATAAATATAGAACATATATTTCCTTTTAATAAAAAAAAAACTAGGGTTTCCCCTTTCAAAAATAATCATTTTACTTTTCTTATTTTTAAGACTTAAATAAATTTATTTTTACATACCTAAAACAATTACAAAACATTTTTTGCATATTTACATTTTTATTGCATATTTAAATAATTTCTTATTTATTTATTTGTACAATAAATTCAATTGGGTTGTAATAGTTTTTATGGTTTTATTTTGAGCAATATCCCCCATTCAAAACTTGTATCCCCCCTCCCATAATATTGTTGTAATAGTTTAGATTTACTTTACGCAATTTATCGCATTATATACATGTTTAGTAAATTAGGGTTTGTATGATAAGAAAAAATCAAACAAATAGCATGACCTAAATACAAGACAAAATGCATGAAAAATGACAACACATTGCACACAAGCACCCCTAGGGTTTCATCCACTTTGTTGCCTTAAAAATGGCCATGGTATGCATGCTAGGTATCTTGGCAAAACAAAACAAAACAAAACAAAAGATCATAGTCCCTCGATGACACTATCAAAAGGTTGCCTAAATACAAAGATGATCTTGGTCCCTAAAATTTTCTAAGATACTTGGCAATATTGCTATCGTGGTCATACGATGACCCACGCCCGTCCCGATTAACATCCAAAGATAGGGTTGTTTACCAAAGCAATGGTAAATCAACAATATCAAAGAAATAAAAATGTATAGGAAAGACTTTTGAGTAGGTAGATAAGCTTCTAGTTACTTGATCAATTTGCAAACCATCCTTTCTATTTTCAAACAAACACACACACAATTTCAAAACATTTTCAAACAACTTTCAAAACATTGAAACATTTTTTCAAAAGACAAACATCTTTGTATACATTCTTAAGAACGAGAATCATTACAAATATCGCCTAAACAATGGCCTCTTTTCAAAATACTTTCAAAACCACACAAAGCACCATTTCAAACAATTGAAAAAGCAAAGCAAGTGATCTAAACAAGTAACTAAGAGCCCATGGAAAACCATGGATGAAAAGGGTGCTAGCACCTTCCCTTTTCATAATCTACCCCCCGAACTCAAGAAAATATCTCAAAGGTCTTTCCTGTGCTTTTTTACCTTTCCTTTTGGATAAAATAAAAGTCGGTGGCGACTCTTGCTAAACCGAAACATTTACGAACACAAACGCAAAACCTCAAGTCATTTCTCCCACCGTATCACAGAACTGGCAACTCTGCTGGGGACAAATGTAAAAGTGAGGTTACCTTAGGGTTTTAGATCACCTTTACATGCTTATCTTGCTTGACTTGTTTGCTTTACACTTTGGTTCTATTGTTTGGGTTTGAATCCTCTACCCGGATTTGGGAAACATTCATCGGTAAATAACAATACATTGTGGAAACTGTGCGGGGTATACCGACAAAGTCTAAGCAATAGCTATGTTAGTGTGACATATTTGTGGGTACTGGTAGCCTTTGAGTCAATCAAAGAGAATACGGGGCCGCTGAGTAATGTCATGAAGCACTAACGAACTTCTAGAACCTTTACTTGACTAACTTGACCTTTTAGGATGTAGTGAGATTACCGGCTTTGGTGCAGTCCGAAGTTGGTAGATACTCGATACTACACTCATTGAGGGTTGGTTCCTTGGAATATTTTCGGTCGCCAGTAAAGAGGCTGAATTGAAACAATGAACAAGGAAACAATCCAATGATATTGAGCCCCTTAGAACCCGGTTACTATTTCTAGGACAGGTTGAGCCAACTAAACTTCAAGAGGGTACTTACCTATGA